GGAAAGAAAAGTGGAGGGGGGGCAGAGAGAGAGAGAGAGAGAGAGAGAGAGAGAGAGAGAGAGAGAGAGAGAGAGAGAGAGAGAGAGAGATTACAGAAGTTGGGAGGTCCAGGCAACAAAGCCTTATGTTCTCTTGATAACATAAGATAGCTCATCCCTAAAGACATAAAGCCTGCAGTGGTAGAACACGGATTGGAGCTGAGATTTGAAAGCAGGCCTAGTGTTAGCAACATTCTCTCTCTCTCTCTCTCTCTCTCTCTCTCTCTCTCTCTCTCTCTCTCATGAAAAAACATAATAGTAGCACAGATTCCTAGGCCATTTGTATGCCTAATGAAGTAGCTAACTTTGCTTGAGCCCTTAATTTGTGCCAGTAAATGCACCAAATAATACTGTTTTAGAGGCATTGTAATAAAAATATTGATTCATTTAATTCTCACAGCAACATGCATATCACTTATTTGCATACTTGCAAAGTCTCAGCGCAGTGTCTAGAAAACTAATGCCAGTGCATAGTGTGAGGCTCACTCTGGCACTGCTCACTGCTGTGTCACCGCATGTAAGTACTGTGTCCTCGCCTCAGCATGACAAGACACCCCTTGGGGGAGGTCTTCTCAGTTCCTATGCAGCGACCCCAGTTTCCTCAGTGCCCCATGTACATTGTCACTTTGACTGCCTTTCTGTAGCACCTCCAGCTCTTTGAGGGCTCTGTAAATTCACCAAAGCTAAGCCCAGGGCCCCAGACTCCATGGGTTTGCGCTCAGGAAGCACAGACAGAGAAGCCTGCTGGGGCTTACTCCTCTACTACCACATGGCCCACGATGCACTATGAATGACTCTCTTCTCTGAGCCTGCCTGTGGGTGCTCAGTTGATGCTGGTTCCCCCCACTTCTTCCTACCTCCCTAGAGTTCCGATCCCCTTTTCTATAGTACTGTACTGGTCTCTCTAGCTACGTTAGCGCATTTACCCAAGCCTTTAGGAAGCAGCTCCTCACTGCTCTGAGTGTCCCCCAAAGAGGGAACCTGCTAGGAGTTTCTGAGCCAAGTATCCCTTGGCTGACTTCTGGGGAGCATGCAGTGACACTTTTGCAAAATGCCAGCAAGTTAGCACCTTGAATTCCCTCCTCCACATGTCTAGAGGATGGAAACGCACGCTGAGAGAATGAATGAACCAGTGCCGGATGTTTATAGCCCATCTTGGCCCTGTCTCCACTCCAGGTTCCTGCCTCCTTGTCTTTCTTAACCAGTCTCCATCTCTGTTCAGTGGCACCAGGGTTTGTTTCTGTCTCTTCCTCTTGAGGAAGCATCACCTCCTGCCTCATTTCTTTTTTTTTTTTTTTCAAAATTTTATTGATAAACAGATAGCAATGAGACAGTTTCAAATCAAATCGGTAGTACAGTTTCAATAACTAACACACTGCATATATTCTTCTTAGTGGTTAATTGCTGTACAAGATGTGGACTTGAGATCCTATTTACAAACACCATTAGAACAAATCATTCTATTCGTTAAGAGAATGCAACTATATATCTATCCTAACCACTTTGAATACACAGATACAAAATGGACATTCATCTGTATACCCCTTTTTTTCTAAGTTCTGTTATTTGAATATTATAGGTGTGTAAACTCAGCAAAATATTCTAAAAGAGTCCAGTAGCCCATAATAGCATTGGGTCTTCTGTTTAACTGGCAATGTCAAAAATTATTGACCTGAGTCCCCCACAGCTCCACATAACAGTGTGGCTTTACTTCCTATGTTTCGTCTTCATACTTTTCTACTGGATGGTTAAGACCAAGGTAAAGCAGGACCTATGCAACAAGAGTTGTAGCTTTTGGTCTGAGAAGGTCAGTGAAATGCCCTCAGGATTTATCCTGAGATCCTGTACCTCAGATTGTAGAACCTTTGTCAGTGTCAGCCATGTGGATGAGTCACGGCCATTGCTTGACCAATGTGCTCTCTGTGAAAGCCTGAGAGAGTGTTTTCTCTCCATGTGACTCTCCTTAGGCACACTCTACGTCAGTAAATAATATTTTTAACTTTAAGCTGTAGTTTATGGTGCATATTGTACTACATGAGAAGGATATAATTTTTTTTTAGTCATTATTTGTTTGTTTGGTACAGAGTCTCACTACACAGACTTATAGTGATCCTTCGGTGTCAGCTTCCCCAGTGCTAGAATCATATGCATGTGCCACCACGCCCAGCTTCGGTGGCCAGCACAGTGCACCCAGGTTCCAGAGCCAGTATGGCATGCGGTACCAGGGAGCAAACCTATGTCCCCGCACTTGCCAATGCCTCATTTCTTCAGAGCACAGTTCTACTGGATTCCGCCATACTTTCTCTGTGCTCCTGGGCATTGTACACTTCCCTGTAGTCACTCAGCTGTGGTGTGCTCCTTCCGAGGCCTCCTCATGGTGGGCTCCCATTTCCCCCATCTTGGGTCACCACTGTGTCTAGCATGGGGCTTTGTAAACTGTTCTTACCACGGGAGAACGGTAAGGCTGGGAGGCCGTGCAAATGTACACTAGTTGGACTTAGCAACTTCGTAGTGTATGTGTCTTATATTTCTAAAGAACATATTAAAGGCTTTGGGGCAGGGTGCAGAGCCTGCAGCTCAATAGTCAGCATTTGCCCAGCATTCACAAGTTGTAGATTCCGTTCCCAGCATCACAAAGAAAGAAAAAGACAAAGCAAATTCAACTTAACATCACATTATACTGAAATATTTGGGGTGATTATATATACAGTTTTTGTTTGTTTGTTTGTTTGTTTATGTATTTGGTACAGGGTCTCACTATGCAGCTGAGACTCATAGAGATCTTCCCCAGTGTTTTTAGCCTCCCCAGCACTGGGATTACAGCCATGTGCCACCATGCCCAGACTCAGTGGCTAGCTCAGTGCACCCAGGGGCAGGGTCAGCTATATACAATTTAGAATCTTTTGTTTTTCATTTATATCCCAGTGCATGAGTCCCTGGAAGCCATGTTATTATAAAATCCTGGAGAGTTCCACTTGAATGACTGCTTAAATTCATATGCTCAGGAATTTAACCACTTCTTTACTGTTGATATTTATAAACAATACTGAGAAGAACATTTTGGAACAAGGGTCTGCATTTCTGGTTATTTCCTTAAGGCAGATTCCTAGAAGTGGAAGTCAGGAGCATTTTCAGGCTCAACATTTGCTGCCAAGTAGCTTTCCAGCAATGTATACCCATTCCAGCGCTGCCAGCTGCAGCAGAGAAGAGCCTTGGACTCCGCACTGCAGCCACACCTCATGCTGGGGGAGGGCACTTGCCTCTGTGAGTTGTGGGCAGCCTGACAATAGGCCCTTGTCCTGCCCAGCCCAGCTCCTCTCCCACTCCGCCCTCCACCCAGGCTTGACTGTCTGCAAGGCCTCTGTTCAGTCTTGTCCCGCCTTCTTGGCAAGTGCTGCCGCTGAGGAGTGCTGGTAGAGTGCTGAAGGCAAGTGATTTGGGGGTCCTGTGGGGTCACACACCCTCGGAGGGGCCCCCAGGCAAGTGAGGGGAACTTTTATGCCTCCTTTGGAGACTAGCCCTACCTGGTCCCAGGCCTAGGGCACAGATCTGCACATTGAGAAGGACCAGCCCCAGTGACAGTGGCCACAGGGACACCGGCCAGTATGGAGATGGCCTCTGTTTCCCCACAGGCTCTGAGGCCCTTCATGAATCCCCAAAAGAAGGTGGACCTGAAACTCATCATCGTTGGAGCGCTGGGGTAAGCCAAGCTCAGCTCAGAGTGTGGGGCGGGGAACAGCAGCCCCCGAGTCTGGGAAGGGAGGCCACCTCCCCTAGGTCCCTTTCTGATTCTGGACGGCAGCAGAAATGCATCCACTTCTAGGAGGGGCTCAGTTTCAAGAAAGAAACCAGCAGTGAACTGATGGCTTGGGCCCCGCTCGGCAGCACCAAGCTCGGTAGGTTATGTGAGCTGGCCGGCAAGTCTGTGCCTCTCCACTCCTGCCACACTCGACAAACCTGCCTGGGACTTCCTAGCTCTCGCCCAATCCATGCACTTCTATTGGCTTCTACTTCTAGAAACTATTCCTAGCCCCTTGCTCCTCTAAGTATGGTCCCTGGGCCACGGATAACATCTGAATCTAGAATCTCAGGAAGGGATGGCTGTGTTAGGGGCCTGGGAAGATTCTGAGAATGGTGTGGCTGTACACAGATGTGTATTTGCAGATGTGTGTTCACACGCATCTTGGGTTTTGCCTCAGGGTGGGAAAGACATCTCTCCTTCACCAATATGTGCACAAGAGGTTTTATGAGGAATATCAGACCACGCTGGGGGCCAGCATCCTCTCCAAGGTTATCATCCTGGACGACACCACTTTGAAGCTACAGGTGAGCCAATTTCTCCCTACTCCCACATATGCATCTGAAAATCCCCTGCATCCCCTGCACAGCCACCTACACAGCCAAGTGCAGCAGGAAAGAAGGTGGCTCAAGCAGAGGCCAGCAAACTTTAACTCAGACTCTGGTCTCTTCCCTGAGACATGGCCACACCCATTTGTTTGCCTATTGTCTTTTGCACTACAGTGGCAGGGGAAATGGATGGAATAGACAGTGCAGCCTATGCAACCCATAATATTCATTGTCTGGCTCTTTGAGGAAAACAGTGCTGATATCTGATCTAGCTTCCAACTCATTGGGGAGCTAGGAGACATCGGGGTCCCTAGAAAACTTGGTGGTGGCCTTGGGCATGTTACTGGCAGGATCCACGTCTCCAAATCTGTCAGACAAGAACAGCAATCCCTGTCCTGATGAAGGCAAAATGACAGCTCAGGTGTGAAAGTACTCACAGGATGCTAAGTGACCCTGCAGAGGTGTTGTAGTGGACCTGAAGGGAAAGGTCAGGCTTGGTGTGTGAAGAGCCACACACACTCGCACCCCAGCTTCCTGCTCCCCACCCCAGAGGGGAGTTTTGGCCTGCTCTACCTGATGGACCTTCCCCAACCCCAATCACAGTCCCACGGGGCGGCTGCTCTTTCCTCCAGATCTGGGACACAGGAGGCCAAGAGCGGTTCCGTTCCATGGTGTCTACCTTCTACAAGGGCTCCGATGGCTGCATCTTGGCTTTTGATGTCACCGATCTGGAATCCTTTGAAGCCCTGGATGTCTGGCGGGGTGATGTTCTAGCCAAGATCATTCCCATGGAGCAGTCTTACCCCATGGTGGTGCTGGGTAACAAAATTGATCTGGAAGACAGGAAGGTACTGTCTGCTCATTCATTTTTTCATTCGTTCAACAAACGTTATGTGAGAGCCCACTCTTGCCAGGCACTGCGTTAGGTCCCACACAAATGGAGCTGAATTGCAACCCTTACTTCAAGAATTCACAGACCGGTAGTAGATGCAGACACTTTGAAAGACAGCTATGACACAATAAATGAGTGTGGCCTCCACCTTGGAGATACAGAGCCATAGCAAAGAGGCATGTATTCAAATCCAGAGTACAAAACAGGCTTCCTGCACTAGGTGAGGTCTAAGCTGAAGGAACAGCATAACATGAACTGAGAACTGAGCAATTCTGCTGAGAGACAGAGTGTGAAGGAGTTGAGGCTTCTAAGAGGGCAGTAGTTAGGTCTTGAGGGATTTGAATTTGAACAGCGGTCAAGTAGGAAGCCTACAGTCACAACTGCCTGGATCTGTAAGTTCCCTGGGAAAGTAATCACTTTTCTTACCAATGTAAGAATAGTCCAGGTCATTGGATTAATTTCTGGACAGCTGGTCCCCTCCAGGACAAAAGTGTTCAGTGTATGTAGTATGGACCAGAACCCAGCCACTGAATGGAGAGCCTTTTTAATCCTTGCATGCCACAGAGAAATGCGTAGATGCAGCCTGAATTTTCAAAGATATCAGCCAAGTGAAGCCAAAAGTGGAACCTCAAAAGAGCTGTTTGACACAAGTTTTCTTAGTGTTTCAAATAGAAAATGGTATGGGGAACTGAATCATTGTATTTGAGTTCAGTTCTCACAATGGTTCAAACAGAGAAAACTCATGGGAGAACTGAGCATCATCACTGGGAAAGATGAAGTGTGTGGCTGAGCAGGAGGAGGAAGGTGCTTCTAACTGTACCAAGGACAGAGGGAGCTCCTGCTCCTAGGGGAAGGCCTTCCTGTTAAGTTTGGACTGAGGACCCTGGGGAATAACTGCAGGGGCTGGACAGGACCCATAGGCAGTGGGATACCTAAGAACAAAACTTGGAAGGAGAAGTCTAGGCTGGAAACAGGTGGCTAGAAATCCTCACCTTGGTGGTCAGTTCAAGTTGAAAACACAGTGTCAATTCTCCAATTACAAATGTCCAGCCTTGGGTAATAGCCCAGGTCCTACGTTCCTTCAAAGGCAAAGTGTCCCCTCTCATTTCCCCTCTCTTATATTAACCTTTCATTCCTCCCTTCTGGTCCCTTTGCTGAGGTCCTAATTCTAGTGTCCAGTGTGTCTTCAGTCCAGCAGGAAAAAGTGAAGAAACTGGGACAGTGCTGACCCAACTGCTATTTTCATAAAGTTTTGTGCTCTCTGGGCCTGGAAGGGGGTGGCAAGCTCTTTCTTCAGTGTGTCACCCCTTTGGGTCCATAAGAAGTCAAGGGTGAGACACTGAACCTTCCATGACAAGGGTCCTGCATTCTCCCCTACTCCTTCCTCAACTCCAAACTTTTCATCTACCCCACTCACTGAGGTCATTCTGTGGACCCCACCTCCTTCCCAAGGTGCTCTCCTGCCTTCTGGGTCCCCTGAGGAAAGTCTCTTCTCTCTCTTCTCATCATCTCTCTCAGATCCCTCAGGTGAACATCAGACATCAGACTGCTATGCCTGCTGAACTCTAGGGCTTGTGTATCAGTGGGCCTCCTCAAAACCATCGTAAGGTGAGACTCTCCCAGCTTGTCCTCTCAGAGGATCAAAGGCAGTTGCCCTGACAACACAACCTTCGCCTTACTTCCCCCCCCCCCCCGAACCAGGGATTGAACTCAGGCCCTTGTGCTTGCCAGGGAAGCACTTATTCTACTGAACCATCTCCCCGGCCCCTTAACCTTCTCCTTACTAATCATCCTGTTCAGCCCCCTTCATATCCCTACTCATCTATGAGCCTAAGAGCCCCTTGGTCATGAGCCTTTGGAAAAGTGCACGGTCTCAGGATGGTCTGTCCCTCAACCCTCTTTATATCTGGCATCTATCAGACTATAGTGCTTCTACCCAAACATCAGTTTTAATGTCTGTAGGCAGGAGGGTGGGACGTTGAGGGAAATTCAAGACTGAGTCTGACTCTTCTCAGCAAAATAAGAAGCATTGCCTTCTGGTGAAAGCAAGAGATCAAGAGGAAGGCTTAAGAGTCCTGCTGAGGTTTGGTGGGGTCACTTGGGAGAAATAGGAGAAAGGGCTGATCAAACACAAGAACAAGAACTGATGAGTGGCACAAAGGGCCCACCTGGAGGGGGGTGTCATGAACGTGGAGTGTGGTGTGTGCGTCTTTCACAAACTTTTGTGGTGCAAATGCCAGGAACAAGGGACCTGGGGCTGAGGTTTGCCCAAGCCAGAAGAGCTGACAGATAAAGCCAGCAGGGCTCTGAGAAACTATGAAGGAAAGGAGAGGGGAGGCGAGGACTGCTTAGGGGATGAGGGGGGGTGGGGGAGAGCAGGCGGGAGCGAGGGCTTGCTTGAGCTGAAAGGCGAGAAGACTGTGGTCACAGACAGGAGGCCGGGGTTAGTGTTCACATGTTTAGTGTATAGAGGCAGAAGTGGAGGGACTGATGGCTGGGCAGGAACTCTGAGGCGCCATGAGTGGTGCCAGCTGTGTGTTGAGGCGAAGAAGAGGAAGCCACACCAAAATTTGTATTTTCATCAGTCCATGCTTGCAGCACTCCATGACCACATGCACCGTGTAGAGTTGATACACAGACATAACACACCTCAATTCCTTTTATGTCCCCCTTCATTTCTTAGTCCCCTTCCCATTTCTGAAAGAAATGTCTCTGGTTCTTATCAGCTATCTATTACTCTGCTGTTTAGTTTATTTATACTTTGAGAGTTTCGTATACCAGAAACCATGCAATAGTTAACTTCTTTGTCTCTCTTACTTCACTTAACATGATGGTCTCAAGGTGCATCCATTTTCCTATAAGTGACCCAAACTTATCATTTTTATTAGCAGGATACTACTCATTGTGTATAAATACTGCATTTTCTTAATCCATTCATCTACAGATAGACATATAGGCCACTTCCAAGATTTACTGCTATCAACATGGATCACTACAGCATGATGGTTTTAACTCTTTCAGAAAGATACATAGAAGAGAAATAGCCAGATATTTTTAGTTTTTTGAGGATGCCAATGAGATAGATTGGCATCTTGGCCTCACTCAGTCACATTTTTTTTAGCCAATTAAGGGACCACTTTGTTCAATATAGCCAGTTCTGCATATCTCAGTGAATAGGGTTGAAGTAAAGGTCAGGGAAAGATGGAGGAGGCAAGGGGCCTCATTTCTCGGGAGAACACAACCTGGTGGTCTCCAAAAATTTGTATTTTTTTCTTCAAAGAAGTATCTATCATTTTATTTGCCCATTTTTAAAAATTTTTCATTTGGGGGGGCTCTAACTTTTTGTACATATTGTGATATATATATATATATATATATATATATATATATATAATCTGTATGTAGTCTAGTTATTAGACTATATCTCTTCTGCCTGCTTTCCATAGTGGTTGGACTGGTTTACATTCCCACCACCAACATAAAAGAGTTCCTTTCTCCACATAGCCTTGCCAGCATTTGTGATTATCTGATTTCTTGTTGATAGCCATTTCTCTTGTAGTAGGGCGGATGCTCACTGTTGTTTTAATTTGTGTTCATCTAATGACAGGAGATGTTGAAGATGTTTTTCATGTATTTGTTAGTCATTTATACTGAAACCACATGGAGGTTTTAGTCAAAGTCAGCAATATGACACACTAATGCAAAAGAAACGCAAAGAGAAAAAGTTCTGCAGCTGAGGAGCTCTAGGGAAACTCCGAGTTCTCTGTGGAACAAAAGGCCACAAGAACAGTGTGTGCTAATGGCTTCAGTTAGGTAGGTGGGTGGTGGTCACAGCAGAGTTCTGGGGGAGAGATATTGTGCAGGCATGGGCTGTCAGAAGAAGCAGCAGTTTTGTACCAGGCACAGAGGCTCTCTAGTTGGCAAAGCTGATGAATGTAAGGCTGGCTCCTTTACTGCCCGGAAGATAGAATTCTTTTTGAGTCCCATGGCCTCAGCTGAGATGTTGTCTCATGTCTTAGTCCTGGGATCTTACAGACTCTTGCTCGAGCCCCCATTCCAGTCATCAAGGGGGACCAATTCTCAGCTGCATGTAGTAGTGAGACACGTTGGCATCTTGGCCTCACTCAGTCACATTTTTTTTAGCCAATTAAGAGACCACCTTGTTCAATATAACCAGCTCTGCATATCTCAGTGAATAGGGTTGAAGTAAAGGTCAGGGAAAGATGGAGGAGGCAAGGGGCCTCATTTCTCGGGAGAACACAACCTTGTGGTCTCCAAAAATTTGTATTTTTTTCTTCCAAGAAGTATCTATCATTTTATTTGCCCATTTTTTAAATTTTTCATTTGGGGGGCTCTAACTTTTTGTACATAGTCTGCTATCTACATAAAACTGTATATATAACTGTTTATATTCTAGTTACTAGAATATATCTCATCTGTTTGAAGAGTAGTTGCCATTCTGTAAGCTATGTCTTCATTCATTGGCCATTTACTGTGCTGAAGATTTTTTTATTTGATATAATCCAGTTTCTTAATTGAAGATTATTTGCACAATTCATTGTCATTTGTGCAATTCGATTTCTATTCAGGAAATCTTTGCTTATGCCAATGTATCCAAAAGTTTTACTTAGGGCTGTGGAGATATCTCAGTGCTATAAGCACCCATGTAGGCAAGCACAAGGGCTCAGGTTCAATCCTTGCTACCACATGCTATACCAGCCCCACCCTGGGCACGCCAAGCCTGCCACCAAGACTGGGTGTGGGGGCATGCACCTGTAATCCCAGCTCTGGGGAGGCTGAAACAGGAGGATCACTCTGTGTCAGAGCTGTATAGTGAGACTCTGTACCAAATACATACATATTTTTAAAAATAGTTTTCTCTATTTTATTTTCAATAGTTTCTTAATATTTAGATTTAGGTCTATTTTATTTTAGTTTAGGGCACAGTGAGAAATATGGGTCTAGTTTCAATCTTCTGTATGTGGATAGCTAGTTTTCTTAGCAGCATTTGTTAAAGAGGCTATATTTCCTAGAATGTATATTTTTGGCCCTTTGTCAAAAAATCAGATGGCTGGACATGCCTGAGGTGGTTTCTGCATCCTCTGTTCTGTCCCCCTACGCCACGTGTCTGTTTTTTGTGCCAGTACCATGCTTCGATGAGGTCCTTCTGTATCTATTTTATTAAGGGCTTTTATCATGAACAAATACTGGATGCTGTCAATTTTTTTCTGCATCTGTTGAGATGATCGTGTGAGCTTTAGTCCAGCTTCTGTTAGGTGATGCATTATACTTATGTGGTCTGCATGTGTTGAACTATCCTTGGACTTGGGATGAGTCCCACTGGGTCACAGTATGATCTTTTCTACGATTTGCTGCATTCTGACTTCCAATATCTTGTTGAAGATCTTTGCATTTGTCTTCATTAAAGAAATTGGCTTATACTTTTTACTTGAGTCCTTTTGTGATTTTTAGAATCAAGATAATGCTGGATGCCAGGAATGAATTTGGCAATATTCCTTTCCTTTGAATTTCATTTAAAAACTTGAAAAGTATTGGCATTTGCTCTTCCCTGAAGTTCTTACAGAATTCAGTGGTGAATCCATCAAATCCTGGGGTTTTCTTGCTTGGTAACTTCTTTTTAAGAGTAAAAAACCCACAAAATTTCAAAGCAAGATAATAAGAGGGTAACAGTGGATAATATGTTATGTATTTTCATCTTTAAATTAGTTACTCAGAGATTTGGCGTGGTGGCATGCACCCGTAATCCCAGCTCTTGGGAGGCTGTAAACAGGAGAATCACTATGAATCTGATGTAGTAGTGAGACCCTGAACACTCTGTAGACCCTTCCCTAAAATATGGAAAAAAATAAAATAAATTAGTTATTCAGAGTACAAGATATTGACATTTAATTGTCCAAACAATATTAGCACAGACCTTTCTTTTAATGAACTAAGATAAATTGGTACTATAATATATATGTGTCGTATATACATATGTAGTATATATGTAAGTAGTATGTGTGTATATATATATAGGTAGTATATATATGGGTAGTATATATACACATATAGGTAGTATATATACATATATAGGTAATATATATATATATATATATATATATATATATCCTCCATTCCCTCATCTCACTTTCTCTTTCCTTTCGAAATTTTTTCTCATTTTATAATATCTTCAGAATATTTGGATCATATTTATTCTTTCAGCTTCTCACATAGGGAGATAATACAGTCAACACGTGTGACTGGTTTATTTCATTTATGAATATGATAAATTGCATCCATTTACCTATAAGTCTCCTGTTTATCCGTTTTTATGACTGAGTAGTACTCCATTGTATAAAAAGACTGCATCATTTTTATCCATTCCTAGGTTGGTGGGCATTTGGGGTTGTTTCCAAGATTTATCTATTACAAATTGTGCTGCTATAAACATAGGTGCACATATATTGCTGTGGTACAATGTTTTTAATTTTAATCCTTTGGAAAGATACCCAGAAGGGAAATAGCTAGGTCAAATGGGACCTCCAGTCCTAGTTTTGGAAGAATCTCCACACTGACTTCCACAGTGGTTGCACCAGTCTCCACTGCCACCAACAGTGGAGAAGGTTGCTTTTTCCCCACAGCCCCTCCAGCATTTGTTATTGGTTGATTTCTTGACAATAGCCATTCTTTCTGGGGTGAAGTGAAATCTCAGTGTTGTTTTAATTTGCATCTCCCAAGTCAGTGAAGCTGAATATCTAAGGTAGTTGAGTATGTCTGAAGTTGTTTCTGCATTTTCGTTATCTATTCTATTGATCTTTGAGTGTGTTTTGAGGTTTTTTGGTGGGTTGGTTGTTTTTTGCCAGTACTATGCTGTTTTTATCACAGTAGCTTTAGAGTGTAATTTCAAATCAGGGATTGTGATCTCCCCCACTTATCTCTGTTGCCCAGAATTGCCTTTGCTATTCTAGGTCTCTTCTTATTCCAAATAAATTTTTGGATTGTTTTCTCCAATTCTGTGAGATATGCTATTGTAATTTTGATCAGAATGGCACCTAATCCTAGGAGCAGCTTATTAACTGTACTATGACCCACTCTCGGGGAAGAAGGTTGGCAGGCAGCTGAGCCTCTGCCCAGCGATAGCCTCCCAGGAGTGGGTCTGTTCAGCCAGCAGGGGTGCAGGGGTCCTTGCTACTCTTCCACTTGGGCCATCTTCCTTTGAAGGGAGTAACAAAGGATTTAATGCCAGGAGGAGACTGCTAGGTAAAGCTTTAGGAAGGCAGCACATTCATTAGTCTAATTCCCCTGGGCTTGTATGCAAACCTGCTCAACCTTGTGTATTCTGGGTAATGTTTCTGATTCTCCAGGTCACCATTCCTTCATCTTTAAAATGGAGCTCACAAGCCTACCTCATGAATGCACGGTGAGGGTCTGAGAGCAAACATGCATAAAGTTACAGATGTGTGGAAGGTTCTCACCAAATGGGTTTTGGTGGCGACGGTGGTGATGTGGCGAGGGAGGTCCTGGCCCATTTTGCTTCTGTAACAGAATAGCTGAGACTAAGTAACTTATAAAGAATAGAGGTTTGTTTGGGCTTATGGTTTTGGAGGCTGGGAAATCTGAGAGCTTCGTGCTGCTTCATCTCACAGAGGAAAATGAAAGGATAGTTGAGAACACAGAGAAGGGGCAAAGGTGAGGGGCACATGCCACAACTCGCTCTCCTAGGGACAATCCAGTCCCACAAGAGAAGCACACACTTCCTGGAGAAAGAGTTCACCCTTTTTACCACTTCATCTCCTCTCCAAGCCTCATTGCCTCTTGGCACTGTCACTTTGGGCACCAATATCAACAGGAAGGGGCGGGGTCAAGCACATCGAGAGCACAGCAGGGACCAGGCTGGCGGCGGCAACAACAACACAGAGCAGTGATGATTTCTTCCCCTCCCTCAGGTGCCCCTGGAGATGGCCCAAGGCTGGTGTGAAGAAAAGGACATGCCCTACTTTGAAGTCAGTGCCAAGAATGACATCAACGTAGTGCAAGCCTTTGAGGTGCTGGCCAGGCAGGCTCTGTTAAGGGTGAGTGTGTGCCAGTGGCTCCAGCTGGCACTGCCCCTAAGCTGAGGATCTCAGGAGCATCCAGGGAAGACCATCCTGGCACAGGGGGCACAGAGGCGCTCAGCATCTCTGAAGTCACAGAGGCATACAGCACCTTGGAGCACATGGTCAGCATCTGAATGGTCACAGATGCCTTTGCGAAGCCGAAGAAAATTCTAGGCCTGTGCCTCTATAGGAGGTGCTGAGATCCTCCAATGAAAAAGAGGAACAGGCCTCAGCCCCTTGGCAGGACTGCTCTGCCAGTCAGCACTCAGGGTGACACAAGTGCCTGGCCCTGTGCCAGTTCAGGGACCCTCAGTCGCAGGAGGGGGACAGACAGGCACACAGTGGGTCCAACACTGCTGCTCATGCACAGTGAGAGGGACAGGACCTGGTGACGGGACCGGGGGGGTGGGGGGTGGCCGGGGGGGTTGCCGACCCCCCCCCCCGGGGAAGGCGAGGACCAAGGCTGCTTGGAAGCAGTGGTAGGGGTGTTTGTGTTATTTTATGCTTTATTTCACCATCCTGGGCGTTATACCCAGGACCTTCACACTGAGCTCCACTTCCAGCTCGGGTTTTGTTGTTGTTGTTTTGTTTTGTTTTTGTTTTTGAGACAGCGTCTTTCTAAGTCACTAAGTTGCCAGGCCTGCGCTTGCACTTGCAACCCTCTTACCTCGGCCTCCTCCCAGAGTACCGAGACTACAGGTGTGTGCCATTGCTATTGACTAGTAGCAGGGTTTTAATGCTACACAGAGTGGAGTTAGGTGCTCGGAACAGGGTCCCTGAGATAGGCACGGTGGGGAGGGGCCCTGTTTATTCATCATTCTGCCATCTTTAATCAAGGTGGGCTTCTTAAAATACGGACCAGGGCTGGTCATCGCCGAAATGCATGGAGTCGAGGAGCCAGTGAGCAGGGAGCTGGCAGCTTCCCTGAGCGAAGCACTGCCTTCGACCAGGGTGAGGCCGCCCCACTTCGCTGCTGCCAGATGCCCCGAGCCACGCTCTCAGTACCTGGAGGTGTGTTGGCTGCAGAGGGCCAGGGCGGCAGCGACCTCTAGCGGCTGCGCAGCCCGGCTCGAGCTCGCCATCCGTGCCCCGCAGAGCCCCAGGCTCCCGCTGGTCCCAGGGCTTGGCCAGGCTTCTCCTCCCTCTCACCAGACCTCGCTGCTGTTTTCAGTTAAAGGGAAGCCCGGCGGTGTCCATCCAGCGCGAAGTCCTGCAGTGTGGCCTATTACATAGGCAGGGCGTCTGCTAATGTGCAGCAGGTGCACTTATTGCCTCGCACGCTGTGAGGTGATCGTTGTTCTTCAATACAAACTCGGTGCAGTTGCTACCAAGCACACAGTCTCAGCTTCCAGCAGCCCTGCCAGTGTGTGTGTGTGTGTGTGTGTGTGTGTGTGTGTGCGTGTGCGCACGCGCATCCATCGCTTCAGGGGATGGAAGGCCCCTTATTGTTGACTTTGTGTCCTTCCTATTGATGTGGAGTTCCATTATCACCGTCCTACAGTATCACTTGTATGATATAATGCCACTAGTAGCCGGTAGCTCGCTACTGCTCCCTTCAACAGTTCTTCCTGAGCACAGAACACATTGGCAACCTCACATGTGCCCCATTCATGCTCACGCAGGAAACTGGCCTTGAGCACCAGAAGTCACAGGTGTTGTGTCTGCAGCCAGATTGGCCTGGATTTGGCTGCTTCCCTGTGCGAGAGACTCTGCAGACAAGGGGGGCTTATCTGGGCCCTTGCTTGACTGGGAGAATTTGGAGAGTGGGCAGAGGGGCAGAGACATGTCTATTTGGGACTACGTCCAGGATTGGGAAGGAAAGAGGACTGGATAGAAGAAGAGAAGGCTGGGGGCCTTGGAAATGTGGGGTGCACTGTTGTCATCTCTGCTTGAGCCACTATGTTACCTCCCCTGTTCCTTCTGGGGAATGGGAAACTGTGGGACCTGACTGGAAATCAGAAGGCCTAGGCTGCCAACACAGCCTCAGTGCTACTCCTGGCTCCTAGAAAGGGAGGCAGGAAGGAGTAGGGTGCCGAGGAGGGGGCTCAGTAGAATAAGCACTTGTCTGGCAAGCTCAAGAGCCTGAGTTCAATCCCAGTTCCACAAAAAAAAAAAAAAAAGAAAAAAGAAAGAAAGAAAGAAAGAAAGAAGAAAAAAGAAAGGGTAGGGTGGGAAGGCAGTGGCTTTCCTGCTGGGCCTCAGCTTCCCAACTGTTCCCTGGGAAAGGAAGGCATCCTCCAACCTCCCAGGCCTTTCAGAAGCAGGGCTCATACATGCTTTTGCATCTGAGGCCACCAATGCTGACTGCTTGCTGTTTTCCTCCCCCAGTACCGAGGCATCTTGGAGAATCACCTTGCAGACTCAATCAAACTCACGCCCAGCCAGGCAAAGAGCCGCTGCTGCTGACGGAGATTCCCACTCTGCACTCCAGAGACAGAGCCACTGTGGGCCCACGGTCCTGGCCGTCCCGCCTGTCCTCACCCAGCCCAGGAGGCTGGGGCCCTGTGGCCAGAGAGAGCCCTTGAGCATTGGCTGGGCCCAGAACCAAAGCGCCTGGCCTTGCCTGGGCCTGAGTCCAGCGAGGCCAGGGCTGGGCCTCCAGGGACCCAGAGGAAACCCAGAGAGGCACAGGGGAGTCCCACAAGTGGCTCTGACCATCATTAAACACAGTCCTGCTGCAGAACACACACCCCTGCAGAGAGCCCCGTGGCCTCTGGAATCCTGTGGACTGGCTCCTCCCCTCATGCCACACAGCTCTGAGCAGGGCACTGCGCAGCCTCCCTCAGCACCTGGGCTGAGGATCAGGGCCCGGCTCCACCTGGCAGAGGCTGGTGCAGGTGTGTGGGGAGTAGGGGACGTTGCCATGGACTTGCTCGCTGCTGCCCGCTCTGTGCTCAGGCAGCTGGCATGTATCTCTCAAGCCTCAGGTGGCTCATCTGCCAAACGAGGACTGGAAGCTGTCCTTAAATCTCACTGCTGCCGCTGCTGTGCACTTGTTTACCCCTTCAGTGGATATTCTTGAGTACCAACTATATCCTTTGCACTGAGGTCCAATGATAAAACAGAATGGAGCCCCATCTCTCTCTAAGAGTCTACAACTGCTGAGGAAAAGGCCTCAGACACAGAACCTAAACAGGTGTTTGCCAAGGCCCAGTAGATGTCATGAGCAACAGGACAAAGGCAAGGGCTGGGATGAAGGGGTCGAGGAGGGATCCCCTGAAGAGGCGGCATTTGACACCAGGGCTGCAAGAAAAGCACCTCAGAGGGAAAGAATAGCAGGACAGAGGCCAGGGGCAAGAACCAGCTTGCTGTTCTCTGAGAACAGTGAAGGGAAGTTCATTCTCCTGAAGTCTCAAAGCTGCATTCCCAGTGACAGGCATGGGACTCGGCCCCCAAGAGGAGCTGTGATGTCCCGGCCACCAGAGGACAGCAGCGCCCCATTGCCTCCAGGCGAAGAGAGGCTGCTACACCCGCGCTTGAACCTGGTGTCAGGCTCGTGCTGAAAGCATGTCCCAGCTCTGTGCCTGTTCCACCCAGGTTCAAGAGCCATGAGAATTTGAGTTCCTTCAGCTTAGCAAGAAATGAGCAAAAACTGCAACATAGGTGATTTGGGCAAGAAATCGGAATCAGAGACATCCTACAATTTTTTTTTTTCATCAGGGATTGAACTCAGGACCTTGAGCTTGCCAGGCAAGCACTTATTCCACTGAGCTATCTCCCCAGCCCCAGAGGCATCTTAGAATGAAAAGCCTGAGAGCCACGGATCCTCTGTCCCTTCAGACTCTGAGGCCACTGCCTGCTTTTTCTTCTGGTTTCAGAGAGTGCAGACAGGGCCAGGCAAAAGAAAATGGGCAGGCAGAGCTGGGTGCAGTAGCTTTGCCAGCAGGAGCTGTCTGCCTCCTGGCCTAGAAGCTGGGGGAGCAGGAGGGATCAGCAAGGGGGCTGGGGAGCCCCCACCCAGCTCTGGAGTTTGACCTGACTTGTCCCAGGCACAGTGTGGGGCTGGCATGGGCCAGGGTGGGCCACAGCACACCATCCCGGGATCCCCAGAGGCGAGCCGGGTGTCCTCATGGGGTTGCAGTCCGCACATGTGCTGGCCTCCTGGGCGTGTGCACAGCTGCTTAGGCACCACTGTAGACACACAGACCATCTCTAATTGGACACCACTAATAAATATGTACTGTGTTTTTATCCTTTGTGTAGCAGTATTGTCCTTTTGTCCATCATCTCATTTTCTGCAGTTGCCAGTTACAGTCAACTGTGGACTAAAAATTTTAAGTACAAATTTCAGGGGGAAATGGATAATTTTAATCCATCCTCCATTGTGAGTAGTGATGAAATCTCATCCCATGATGCCCAGGTCACAGATTATCTCCATGTCCAGAGTGTCCACACTGGGTAAGCTACCCACCCATTAGTCACTTAATAACAGCCTTGGTTATCAGATCGGCTGCCACATATATCAAGTGTTCCTGTTCAAGCAAGGCTTACAGAGTAGCCTAACATTGTGCCACAAGGCCTCCCTCACCCTTCATTCCTCACCACGGAGGGCATAAATCTTCACATATCACCCCAGGGAGCAGGGTAGGTACTGAATAAGATATTTTGAGTGTGCATTGACACATTTATTACAGTACATTGTTATAATTGTCCTATTCTCTTCCTGTGCCTGATTTATAAATTAAACTTTATCATGGGTGGGTATACATAGGGAAAAGCATACTATATTGGGTTTGTCACTATCCTTAGTTTCAGACATCTACTAGGATCTTGGGTTGTATCTTCTGCTACCAAATTTACTTTCCAATTTTTAAAATGCTTCACCTATATGATTCAAAATGCAAAAGATACTAAAGAGCAAATAACAGTAAACTAAGGTTGGCCCTCTCATGTGCAGAGTCTAGTACAAACCGAATATCCTGAGTCCCCCTGCGCAAAAGCTATGAAGAATTTCAAGACAGTAACAATAGAAGCTTCAGTCAAGGTCAGGCCACCATGAGGACAGGCAGGTCACCCAGCCATGAAGTGGACATGGGATCTGCACCAGTGTGAATTTCTGTGTCCTCCACAATGACTGAAGCCTGCAGCTCAAAGGGAAATGACGAGCTGGTGGGCCAGGGCTGCGTGGAGATTGTGCCAAGGCCCATGCCCACATTTTTCATCTTCTTTGGAGAGAGAAGACAATGGGAGATGAGGATCTGGGAGCACCCATGCCATCTCCTCTGGTACACACCGACCAGGGCCCGGGGAGGGCATGAGAGCTGCCGCCCCACTCCCCAGTCCGATGCTGGCCCTCCGTACTCACACCCCTGGGCCCAGGTGCTGGCAGAAGGAGGCAGCTACTCCTGGAGAAAAGAGAACCAGGCCAGGCTCAGGGTGGCATATGCCCTTGGGGCTTGGGAAAAATAAAGCTAAATCTTATCACCAAATAAACCAAGGCTAGGTGACGATGGACCTGGCTGGACCCTGGCTGCATGCATTGGAGGCCCCGCTCGGGTGTTTCCCGGGGTGAGCACCAGCTGGCAGAGCTCAGCATGGTGAAGGGCCATGGCCTGGGCTGGGGCAGGGAGTGCATGTGGTGTGGCATGTGTCTGTGGGGTGAGGGTGTAGTGTGCAGGGCAGGGTGTGCGCTCAAGTGCGTGCTGTGGTATGTGTGTGCACAACGGGAGGGAAGCAGCCTGGGAAGGAGCTGGCCCTTGTTAAGCCCAGAAACAGAGACCAGATGGAGTGATGAAGATGCAGGGCTCGACACGCTCCTCGCTGGCGTCAGTGAACCCCACGGGGAAGGAGCCTCCTCTCTCTCGCTTGCTGTCACGTCCAGGTGAGTCTGACCACGCCACCCCATCCTTCCCTCCTCCCGCTCCCTCTCTCCATCCAGACAGGCAACCTGAACACCTTTCACAGGCCACGCTTTGTCCTCCTGGTGGCCTTCTGCCTTCCTGTGCTCCTTCCCTGGCCACTCCATACAGCAGCGGACCCTCCGGCCTTCCTAAGGACAAATCTCTCCTGTGATCAGCAGTCCCTTTCCCTCCCACCAGGCACAGACTGCTGTTCCACACAGAGGGCTCCACACAGGCAGACACGTTCCTCTCTGCCCCCACCCTGCCCTACCCAGCCTGGTCCCTCTGCTGGAGCGTGGGCCTAGTGTGGATCATTCCCTCCTTGCTATTTATCATCAGCTGAAACCACTTCCTCCATTTGCTGTCCTTCCCAAGTACAGAGCAGCTGGTGCTCCATAAATATTTTTCACCAAATAGTACCTGAAATCATTTATAAAAGTTGTCTACTGTGTTTAGACTGTAGTCTCCTTGCAGGCAGGGCCTATTCGGACCCATCATTATAAGCCCAGCACTCCATGTAAGACAGGTGCCTACTACGTGTTAAATAAATATAGACGAATACAATAAAACATCAAATAGCTATTTTAAAAGAATAATGAAGTGGTCTGTGGAATAGATCCCCCAGATGCATTGTTATGTGAGAAGGCAATGGTGTAATGACGTGTATAATATGTTATCAAGGTGCAGGGGCCAGGGTTTGATCCCTGGGCCTGCCGGGCCGGTCCCGCCCCCCCGGCACACTGAGATAGCAATTGAGACTGGGTGTGGTGGCACACACCCGCAGTCTCAGCTCTTGGGAGGCTGTAAACAGGTGGATCACTATGAGTCCCATCTAATAGTGAGACCCTGAACACCCTGTAGGCCCTTCCCTAAAATTTAAAAAAAACAAATTGTTATCAATCTTATTATAGGAAGCTTAAATAAGACTTGATGTTCAGTTATATAAAGAAAACCCTAGAAAGATGTGTAAGAAATCAATAAAAGTGAAGGCTGGCCAGATAATTCAGCAGATTAAAGTGCCTGCTTAGGCAGAGCACAGCAGCAGGGATTCAATCCACAGCATGCCATGCCAGCCCCAAGGGGCGCGCTGAGACCTCAATTGAAACTGGGCGTGGTGGTGCACGCCTATAATCCCAGCACTTGGGAGGCTGAAAACAGGAGGATCACTACAAGTCCAATCTGTGTAGTGAGACCCTGTAGGCCCTGTACAGAAATACATTTTTAAAAAGACAAAAACAACAAAAAACAAATCAATAAAAGTGGTCACCTTTTCCTTCTATAGCTTTACGCTTTTAATTTCCAACTCTTTGGATGGATTACTCAATTTTAAAAGAAGGAAATTAAATATTGGCAGAAGGGAAGGAGGAAAGGAGAGAAGGAGGGGTGACCTAAACAACTCTGAGCTCTTCTGGCTTGCCACACGCACCCTTGAATGCAAGACAGAGACTGAGATTCTGTGGCGAGCGAGAGCCAGAGCATGAAAATCCCCGGGACCCACCTGTCCTGTGTGGATGCCGAGTCTCCAGAGGGCTGAGATCACTGCGCTCTCTCGGCTCTGCTGTCTCGGAGGAAGCCGAGTTTCTCCTGGCTGTCAGTCAAGAGCAGCAAGTGTTTCCAGCCTCGGAGGCTTGATTCTGCAGATAAACTCTCAGGTGTGTACCCTGCCCCATGAAGTGCCATAGAAATGCCCATGCTAAGATATTTACCAAGGTTCATCTCAGAGCTTGCCAAGGTGTGGACACCTTCAAATCCCCATCCCTGAGCCTACTCCTGGCCCCTCAAAAGACCATCTTCCATTTTAGAGGTAAGCTGGTATTTCTTTTTGGCTAGATGAAGTGCAGCGTGCTACAAACAGGCCCTCTAAGGCTGCACATCCACCCTACATTTACACAACACTATATCGGGTGCATCAAAGAACAGGATCAAGAATTTTCTTTGTAGTGTTGTTTATACTGGAAGAAATTGGGTAAATAAAATGTGTTATATCCAAACAACAGACTACCACAGCAGCAGAAATGAATAAACCAAAACCATGCACATCAACTGGGTGAGTCACAGAAGCATCTGGAAGGTAGCAAGCCATGGAAGGAGCCACAACTGAGGAACACTCACAGGAAGCCCCACGCCATGCAAGGCAACAGGTGATAAAACACTGAATTAAAAAAGCACAATGAACCCAAAACGTTGATAGCAGCTGCTAGGGATGTGGTCAGTGTAGGGAAAGAAAGGGACTGACTGAAATGTGTTGGAAAGGGCCTGATTCCTCTAGTTGCGTCATGAGCTAACTTTGCCGCTAAGCTTTGTGTCATGAATGCATGTTATCAAATTCTTTTCTTTTTTAAATTTCTATTTATTTATTTGATACAGGATCTTGTTCCACAGTTTTTTTTTGTTGTGTTTTTTGTTTGTTTGTTTTGTTTTGTTTTGCAGTACCGGGGATTGAACTCGGGACCCTGTGCTTGACAGGCAAGCACTTATTCTACTGAGCTATCTCCCTGGCCCTCAAATTGTTTTCTGTGACCCGTATTTTCCAATTTAAAAACTTAAACCTTTGGTGTCAGACAGGCCTGGGTTTGAGTCCTTTCTTTGTTGTAGCTGGGTGATTTTGTAGTGTCAAATTCACTTAACATGTCACTTAACATCCCTGTCTACACTATCTCACTTGGATGATGGGGATGATAATGTTTAGCTCAAAAAGCTCCTGTTATGTGCCGGGTGTGCTGTGCCCGGCACATAGTAGGTGCTCATAAGTGGCCAGTGTAATGAGGTCAGGAGCCATGAGCGGGACATTTCTTTTCAGTCTAGCTATGGTGGGAGGCGTGGGCTTCTGGGATCCCTGATGCTGTAGGCTGAGGATGCAATAAATGAGAGCTGAATACGTGAACAAATGAATGAGCAAATAAATGGAAGGATTTGTCTGTCCTTTTCCTGCTGCTTCATCTCTTCCCCAAGATGACTTTTGGGATTCAGGACCTCGGGTGCTCATTGCAGTAATGTAAAATAAACTTTAAATGACAATTCTTGGGCCAGGGTTATAGCTTAGGAGCACAGCTCCTGCCTGGCAAGTGTAAGGTCCTGAGTTCAATTCTTGGTATCAAATAAATAAACAAACAAGCAAATAAAGTTCTCATGCCTGCTCAGAGTCTCTGAAAGTAAGAAGTTGAGAAGTTTGGCCCCAGGAAGACTCTACCTCTTTCCTCCAAATTGTATCATAGATCCCTAAGGGTAGGCCTCACCCTGCCTCCCTTGGCCCTTGGCACAGTTCTGGGTCCATGACAGCTTCTGCGTAAATAACTGAGAGAAGAGGAGAAGCCAAGGCTCAATAGCAGCATTCTGTACATTTCT